CAAGGTTGTATTCTCCTTCATCCAGCTGACTGCAATGGTGTTGGGGTAGAATCCGTACGCGTGGCAGGACAGGATCAGCGTCCCATGTTCCTCTTTTCCGGACACGTGGACATCAGGGGGCTCTGGAATGGGATAATTACGGAATTCATGCACGGAATTCCACGGGAATGGCATTGGGGTGAGCTCTGCCCATGGAATTCCCATTAGAATGGGACTAGGGTGAGCTGTACCCATGGAATTCCCAGTGGAATGGGATGAGAGTGAAATCTGACCATGGATTTCCATGGGAATGGGATGGGGGTGAGATCTACCCTTGGAATTCCACAGGAATTACCGTGTTCCCAAGTTCTCCATTCCCAAATCCCCGCAGGAATTCTGCTCCCACCTTTGCGCTCCAGCTCCTTCTGCCCGTATCCAACGTATTTCCGGAGCCATTCCGGGCAGACGTGCTTCAGGTAATTCGTCCACCTCTCAGCCTCCTCCTCCTGCTCCCAGCGTCTCCTGGTGATCTCGGCAGCGCTGTCGGCCGCCACGAATCCCCCGGATCCCAGGTCAAAGGAGATGAAATCCCGCCCGTCGTAGCCATCCTTGTAGGATCCATGGACAGTCCCGTCAGACAGGAGGTCACAGCCATAAACATGCAGCCGTGTGTGGAGACCTGGGGGGATTGTACCCACAGAGACCCATGGAATTGTGTCCCGGCCACACAGAGCCCCATCCCAGCCCTATGGAGCCCCCGAGTCTGATGGAGACCCACAGAGCCTCATTCCAGCCCCCTGGATCCCCATGGATCCACATCCCAACCCCACGGATCCCATCCCAGCCCTACAGATCCTATCCCAGCCCCACGGATCCCATCCCAGCCCCACAGATCCTCATCCCAACACCATGGATCCCATCCCAGCCCCACAGATCCCATCTCTAGCCCCATGGATCCACATCCCAGCCCCATAGATCCTATCCCAACCCCACGGATCCCATCCCAGCCCCACAGATCCACATCCCAACCCCATGGATCCCATCCCAGCCCCACAGATCCACATCCCAACCCTATGGATCCCATCCCANGAATTGTGTCCCGGCCACACAGAGCCCCATCCCAGCCCTATGGAGCCCCAGAGTCTGATGGAGACCCACAGAGCCTCATTCCAGCCCCCTGGATCCCCATGGATCCACGTCCCAACCCCACGGATCCCATCCCAGCCCTACAGATCCTATCCCAGCCCCACGGATCCCATCCCAGCCCCACAGATCCCATTCCAGCCCCATGGATCCACATCCCAGCCCCACAGATCCTATCCCAGCCCCACAGATCCTCATCCCAACCCCATGGATCCCATCCCAGCCCCACAGATCCCATCTCTAGCCCCATGGATCCACATCCCAGCCCCATAGATCCTATCCCAACCCCACGGATCCCATCCCAGCCCCACAGATCCACATCCCAACCCCATGGATCCCATCCCAGCCCCACAGATCC